ACCTGTGTGTAGAGTTCATGAGGCAGCGTTGCTGAAAGAACTGAATCATAGAATCTTGGAACTGAAACTTACTTTGGAAATTCCTAATCCACACCTTTCACACCATTTTATAGAAAAAGCATCCCCCAGGAAACCCAAGTCCCCTAGCTGGCTGGCAGCAGAGCTGACGCTGTTTTCCTTTTAATTTGCCATCTACCAGTCTTATGCTTGTTTGTTTAACTACAGTGAACTGCCAAGGAAATAGACTTAACTTTAAAACTGAAAATCAGAAAAAAACAACACCATTTCAGGTCACAACCTTAAATAGTAGCAACGAAAATGAAAACACCAAACTGAGTAAAGATGTACCTGGACAATGGCATTTTCATCTAGATTCAAGCAATCAAAATAAAATAAACCTACAACTGGCTAAATGCTATAGCTTAACAGCAAAGTTATGGGTAGGACACTGTACAATATATTTAGTCATCTTCATTTGTGCTTCATACTTCTCATGCCCCCAAGCCCCGCCTGGGACAGAATTTGTGAAAATGTCAGGATTACGAGGGACTCACCATCCATATATTTGTGGTGAGCCGTAAGCGTGAGTCTGTATGTAAGAGGGAGAAACAAAGATGGAAAAAGGAAGAGGGTTTATAGAACTATATATCATTTATATATATTGATTTTCCTCTTTCTTCATCCATTTTATAGAAAAAGCATCCCCCAGGAAACCCAAGTCCCCTAGCTGGCTGGCAGCAGAGCTGACGCTGTTTTCCTTTTAATTTGCCATCTACCGGTTTTATGCTTGTTTGTTTAACTACAGTGCACTGCCAAGGAAACAGACTTAACTTTAAAACTAAAAATCAGAAAAAAACAACACAATTTCAGGTCACAACCTTAAATAGTAGCAAAGAAAATGAAAACACCAAACTCTGAGTAAAGATGTACCTGGACAATGCCATTTTCATCTAGATTCAAGCAATCAAAATAAAATAAACCTACAACTGGCTAAATGCTATAGCTTAACAGCAAAGTTATGGGTAGGACACTGTACAATATATTTAGTCATCTTCATTTGTGCTTCATACTTCTCATGCCCCCAAGCCCCGTCTGGGACAGAATTTGTGATAATGTCAGGATTATGAGGGACTCACCATCCATCTATTTGTGGTGAGCCATAAGCGTGAGTCTGTATGTAAGAGGGAGAAACAAAGATGGAAAAAGGAAGAGGGTTTATAGAACTATATATCATTTATATATATTGATTTTGCTCTTTCTTCATATGTTGCTTATGAAGCTGCATTCTTACATCAGAAATAGATTCACACATGATATTAAAAGTAAGCAAATAATAAAAACTTTTATTAAAATGCCATAAGCAATTTCAAGTGGGATTGATATGCCAATATTACTATTCTTTATAATAAGTAAATAGCAAATGGAAAATAAGAGGTTTGGGACATAATAAGCAAATTCAAATGCAAAAAAAACAAGTGGATTTCAATTGCATCCAATTATTTCACCCAATCACCTAAAAATGAAGATCTTCTCAAGAAAATTGCATTGCCTTTCCAACTCCTTGGAGATCCAGTTTAGTTAACAGCCTAACTATGCTTCAGAGATGACCATGTAGCTAACATGTCAAACTAATTTTAAAGTGTCAATCATGTTCCCTTCAATCTAATTAGTTTGGAAAGTAGTGTCACTGACCTGGAACCACGCCGACCCTTTATTATCATATTATTTGATCAACCTAACACTTTACCCCAGTTGAATTTGAGACACCTGTAACCAAAATGTAATATCCTTTCTCCCATACATTACTGGTAACTCTCTGTACAATTTTCTATTTACAACTCAATTTATCTCTATAAATAAGCACGGCCAATTTCACAGAGACATCCGCAGAATCTCCCTTATTTAAGATTTCCTGGCAATTAAAATAGAAATGTAAAGAGAATAACAAAAATATATACGTATCAGGTGGATTATTTGAGATTTTTTTGAAGCTCAAGAACGGCTAAAAGTGGGAAAGAGGAAGAATGGAATAACAGATATGCCAGGAGAAATCTGGAACCTTCAACGTGGGAGACGACTATTCCTTTTTTAATATAATACAGCAAGCCATTTTTATAAAAAAAAAAAAGTCTGTACGTTATAAACCCAATGTCATCACATGGGTTTATGTTATAATAAAGAAAAGGTTTCTCAGGTTCGTAATATTTAACCCGACTTTAATGTGACCAAGTGCAGGATGAGGCCCAGTTGAAGGAGGTAATAACTAGTTCCTGAGAGGAGCTAAAGGCCAGACCACAGTGAGCCTGGAATGGGGTGGGCGGCTGGAGAAAGCTAGTCAGTCAAGCAACAGAGATCACCTGGCCCTCTCCCTGGCAAGAAAATAAAATTACCAAATCTTTTCCCGGCTTTGTTTTGCATATTTAGGAACTGATTTGCAAGCAGGTGATCTTACCTCTGAACCACAGAATAACATATTAAGCCAGGAACAGAAAAAATAATCACATACGTTTGTGTGCCACCACAACGTTGTGTTCATATTTTTAAATGTGGTATTAAAAAAAGTACAGAACAGTGGTTCCCAACCTTATTCTGGCCATGCCCCACCTAAGCATCTCTAAAATCCTGATGCCCCCCCCTCCACACACACACACACACTGTAACATATAATTCACGTGGAGGAAGCCTAGCAGGCCATTAACTTGGTCTAAACAAGCTTCCAAAGAACTTGGCATCCATAAAAGAGAAAAATAAAAGAACGAAAGGACAGTTGAAGTCTGAGAAAGAAATCACTATGCAATTGTTTAAAAAAAATCATAATATGAAGTGATATGAAAAAAATAGCAAATAAAGTTTCAAAACATATAATAGAGAACTTAAATACATAAATATGTCACAATATATATTTATATATTGTATATGAGGCCTCTAGAACCATAAGAAATACAAAAAATTCAGTTAATAACTCATTCTCGAATCGCCCCCCTTAAAAATCAAATTGCCCCCCTGTGGGGCATGGGCCCCACGTTGGGAACCACTGGTCTAGAAGATATATTTAAAGTAATGACCATTCCCTCTAGCAGACAATAAGCAGGATGTCAGCTGCCCAGGCTTCCTTTCACAGCCTGTGTTCTCCTTTGGGGATTGAAGTAAATAGCAAAATCCCCATTTGTCTTACAGATAAGCAAGATTCTTCTTGTATGTTTGCTTGAAAAAATAATTATTAGTGAATATGGTTTCACACATAGTCAAGCAAAATATGTATGTATCTCAAACTTACCTTCAGGTGAGGAGCCTGGCTTTTGGGAAAAGACTGCATTCACTTTACTCTTCTTATTGATATCACTATTTACAGACAAGCTGGACTGAATTTTTCTATGCATTTTTTGAGAAACAGGTGCTGAAAGTCTTCGATTATCCACAGACACATGTTTGGCTCCATGGTGAATTCCATTTCCATTGCTCAGACTTTTGTGGCAGTTCTTTGTCTTGTCTATGTCCTCCTCACTTGGTTCTTGTGCTGAAGTTTGAAGCTGAGGCAAGCGCTGAGGTTGGGCTAAGTTAAAAAGCAGGAAAAGTTTATCAGGTTAAAAAAGAAATTAATATTTTAAAATAATATAAATATACTCAGTAACAGATTATTTTGAATTTTATCCATGATACTAAAAATGAAAGAAAAAGAAAGTAAAATACTAATACATATGGGTATAATAATGATTGGAAAATATCCTATCCTATATAATAAAAGGCTAATCTGCAAATTGACTGAACGGCGGAACAATCGGTTGCTGTGACGCACACTGACTACCAGGGGGCAGAAGTTCAATGTAGGAGCTGCCCCCTGGTGGTCAGTGTGCTCCCACAGGGGGAGCGCCACTCAGCCAGAAGCCAGGCTCATGGCTGGTGAGCACAGTGGAGGTGGCAGGAGCCTCTCCCACCTCGGCGGCAGCACTAAGGATGTCCGACTGACAGCTTAGGCCCGTGGGGAGTGCAGGCCAGGCTGAGGGACACCTCTCACCCCTGAGTGCACCGGGCCTCTAGTGTAACAGAAATAATAAAGAATAAATGCAGAGAAAATATCCTTACTAAAGGGGAAAATGAGAAAGGGAGTCATCAAAAGTGACTTTATGAAAGGGGCATAAAAACAGAAGGGGAAAAGTGATTTGTTTTTAAGAAAATTGAAGTTAGAAATCTGAAAAAAACAATTTGACACTCATTCAGAAAAAGTGGATTCTTGATGGCTTATTTCACTGAGCATAATGCTCTCCAGTTCCATCCATGCCTGTTGCAGCATAATGCTCTCCAGTTCCATCCATGCTGTTGCAAATGGTAAGAACTCCTTCTTTTTTACCTCAGCATAGTATTCCATTGTAGATGTAGCACAGTTTTTTAATCCACTCATCTGCTGATGGGCACTTAGGCTGTTTCCAAATCTTAGCTATGGTGAATTGTGAAATAAGCCAGTCAGAGAAAGATAAACATCACATGATCTCACTCATTTATGAAATATAATGAACAACATAAACTGATGAACAAAAATGGATCCAGAGACAGAGAAACACTGATCAGACCATCAAACCTTAGAGGGAAGGTAGGGGAGGGTGGGGGTAAGGGTGAGAGATCAACCAAAGGATGTGTATGCATGCATATAAGCCTAACCAATGGACACAGACAACAGGGGGGGTGAGGGCATGAGTGGGGGGGGATGGGGAGATAATGGGGGGATAAGGACACATATGTAATACCTTAATCAATAAAGAATTTTTTTTTAAAGTGAATTCTTTTCTATGTACCAGGTCTTCTTTCTGGTGCCAGAGACACAGAAGTATTATCTCGCTATCCCTGATAATGGTTAACTACTCCATTATCTTTTGAAATAAAAGGAAAAGAACAATGGATTCGGGTATGAAAGCTGGACAGTATAGAGAAATACTGTGGGGTGCAGCGTTCGATGCCCACTTCCCAGCAGATCATGGGGCCAACAGTGCAGCAGTGAAGTTTTCATTAGAGAAGCCCCTCTGAATGTACAGGCATAACCCTTAGCTGGGTAACTCTTGGGAGGATCTCTGTGCTGACAATAGATTTATTTTTCATTTAAATTAGCCAAAATGGATTCTGGGTATTGAAGCTTAGAGCTCTGATCTCCCAAAAAAAGCTATCTGTTTACACTGGTTAAATAATGAGATTATTTACTAATATTCTTAAGCAATGCTATCAATGAAAGCATTTCTTCAGTTAAAAACAACAGCAACAGCAAAAACATTCATTGTCAAAATTTACTTTTATAATTTCCTGGAATTTCAGATTCTAAAACTGCTGTTATAATTAGTCTTTTTAACTTATGATTATGAACAGTTAAAAAATATAAATTAAGTCTGAATACTAAGAACTCTTCAACTTAGAAAACATAATGTATGAAAGCCACAACAGTTATACTGGTACATGGCACTGATCATGTCTAAAAGGGACTGATTATCTGTGATCTAGGGACTAGCTAAGACTTGGTATATATTTTTGACAAAGAGAACAGTTTGCATTTGAGTAGGGATTTAGCACACATTGTTTACTTCTTTCCTTGTTCAATATCAAAATATTCTATTTATGAATGTACAGATTTCAAGATAAAGACAAATTTCTTTTACTTAATAAGCATGGTTTCACATCAAGTCTATTAACATTAATACCTGATTTATAAAACTAATATATGAATCCCTCTTAGCATTTTTCAGTTATTTAGTAAAGAACAAAGGAAAATAATTGTCAAAAATTAAATATTTGTGAATATCACAAATTAATAGTTGTAAAATATATCAAAGATTTTTTTTCTCCTAACTTCTGATGAAAAGAGGAAGAGGTTACTTCTCTATGTAAAAGCTCTACACACCCTTCTTCTAACTGAAATTGGCAGTCCAGGCATCTGCAAAAGGAGAGCTATTTCTTATGGGTGAGTAACCATTTGATCTAGAGATTAATTTGCTGCTCCTGTAACTCCTTGTATCAAGGAGAATGACATCCTAATGACTGCTATTGAACATACAGCTAGTTATACATATTTATTTAAAGGGATGCCAAAGAAGACAGTTAAAGAGAGTTAAAACTAATTTGGTGTTCTTTTTAGAGCACTTTCCAGTAATCTCGCCAATAAATGGAATGTGTTGGGCCACTTTTTCTCTGAAAATAACTCAAGCAATCTGAGAGCTCAGTTAAGTTGAAATGTCATTGACCAATGCTGGGGAGACTTCTTATCAATCAAAAATGTACTGTCATATTCCATAATCTAACATAAATTTAAAATCACTATGTACTGGTAACAGTTAAACGTTCTCAATAATTAATAATAAAGATGGTAAAAGAGAACTATATCTTGCCACCAAATTCTAAAACTGACAGATCCTGTCTTTTTCTATCAAAACTGACTATATGCAAATTACTGGGTATGGCTGGAGTGATATTCAAACACATCCTTAATGATTTACCTACATTTCAGTTTTCAATATGATACCTATTTCGGTTGGCAGACAAAGGATAGCACGTTAATTTTTGTTTCACTGTCACCTAATTATTTTTATTATAGTTTGTATTATGATCTAGTAACCAAGTATTATCTCTTCATTTTAATTTTTTCACATTAAAATTTTCTTAGTTTTATGATTTTGTCAGATGCACGCACCATATAAATCAGATTAAAACTGGATAAATCCTAGATATAGTAGATATCTCAACAGACATTTATTTTCACTTCCATTGATAATTTTTCATGGATGTCATTTGAATCTTACAGTAAAATTCACCTGAAAGTCAGAAACATGATTTTATTCTTGGATAAAGAACAAAAACCTCTGATTAAAAAAAAAACAACATAACTACTTGGTTTTAGACCGATTTTTTTTTCTTATTGTGTAAAAGTTGTGTATGGCTTTAAAAAAAAAAGCAACATGCTAATATGGGAGCGACAACACAATGCCTCTTAAAACACTAGTGATGCCTAGGGACCCTCGCTCTCCCTTTAACGATCCACTGCTCTCATTCAGCTGTCTTTCTTTTTTCAAATCTTTACATATGTGACAGCTCTCAAAAGTAGACCATAGACCATCTGGCATTGTCAGAGGTGTAACTTGTGCAAATTCAGCTCTATTGGGAGCGCACTGCTATCTTCTGCCTGCGTTATAAAGGGACAATAGAATGTAGAACTTAAGATTTGTTTTGAATTATTCATTTTTAGCCTGTATATTCAAGAAATTTTACAAACTCTGCATTTTGTACTACATAATCGCATGCGTTAAAGGTACAAAGAAACTTTTTGACACCTTTTTTCTACAGAAAGCTGGCATTTTGTTTGATATGTGAACATTCGGGCATCTGTTATATCATTCTAAACAGGCTGGAGGCTTCTACAAAAGACCCCATTTTAAACTTACTCTATATGGGCAAAAAAAATGTATTCTTGATATTCAGTAACAAATGCAAAACACATCAAAAATTTAAATACCAGTTATATGAACATTCAGCATCTTCAAACCTTGATAGCATTGGTAACCCGATTATCATATGTATTGTAAAGAATTTTTTTAAATCATTGCTCATACAATGCAGCATGATTGTAAGTTTAAGATCCATAATGAATAGTTACAAATGTCTTAAGAAACCCTGTGCTTTCTAGGTTCAAATGTTTTCAATCAGGAAGGAAGCCAATAGAATTAGATCTACTGATTTTCAATAATAATAATAAATATGGGAGTAATGAGTCAATAGCATGAAATTCTTTTGATGATTTTTTTTAAATGTGTGATATTGTAGCTTAGTAATAACTATACTTGGAACTATGCCTATTGGAGAAGCAACAAAAGCAACATTTTTCCATGGCATATAATCTATTACCATGTGCAAATCACCTGCAGTTGCTGGTCTCTTTACATAAAATTTAATAAAACTACAAAGAATTATGCCATTTATTTCAAAAGGTCGTTGTACAAAAAAAGTCAAAATTAAAACCTTAGAATTTAAAATCGTCAGGAACAAAATGATCTAAATAGAATATTTGGGGGAAGGGGAGTAAAAATGACTTGATGCAAATTAAAATTATTTTTCCCAAAGATAGTTATAAGCTTTTACTGGGTACCCAGTAACTCTGCTACTCTGAAGTCACTATGAGACTGAGACAAACACAAACACACACACAATGGTAGAGATTTTATTTATATACACACATATATAAAACAAAACTTTTATTATGTATATATATAATATGCATGTATGTACAATAACAATATGCACAAATATAATAAAACTATATTATTGTATTTATTATTGTAATGTAAATTTAGGCTAAAATAAATGTGTTAATGGACAACTCTGTTCATCAGCTTGTTGCAAACCTTTCTCAGTGGGCAGACCCTGAGTGGCCCCTGCATCCTAACACCTACACAGTCCGGAAGCTCCTGGCATTTTCTACCTCCGTCTCCTTAGTTCCACTCCAAGGGCTTCCAGAAATTTGTATTCACCTCTTAAACTTCCGAACTCTTTCATCATATACTGTATCCCATATTCATTTTATTT